AATTCCCCATCTCAGTCCAAGCCCACTGTCAGTTCATTTGTATTCCAAGAGAACTTTGTTTTCTTTTTCTTCCCTTCCCTCAACCCTTTTAATCCTCTAGTTCAAGCAGTTAGCTCTACAAATATTAGCTGCAATCAAGGTCTAGCACATGCGGTAATTTTCCCCCTAATAAATCAATCAATTCTTTCTGTGGAGTGTTTTTTCCCCCCTTACAGTCATTAGAGAATTACAATGCTACTTGAGGATCCCCAGCAACTTGAATTAGTCAAGAAACGTCAATCAAATTTGCCAGATTTTGCTTTAAAGATGAGAAAAATGGGATAGATTCACAAAGGCCTCTTGTTTTAGAATAGGAAGCTTGCTAAGCCCTTGTTGAATCTCTTTTAGAGAGGCCTTAGCATATAATGATCCATTTGGAAGAAAATCAAAATCAGTACGTATTACCAATGACAAATCAGACAAAACCCAGAAACTCTCATCAAGTAATCTAAAAGTTAATAATTGGAATAATCAACCACCTAGTATCTCTAGGCCATGCCATATTCTGTAATAGCTAACAGGTTAGTACAGCAAAGGAATAGAAAGAGAAATAATCTAGCAAATGGACAAATTTTAAGTCCATAACATGCAGAGAATCTTTTTTAGTTAGAAGGGAACTAAAGGATCAACTGTGCTTCTCAGAGTTGACTTTAGGGTTGGGAGTGGGCAGGTGATCTTTAAGAATAAAAAGTGAGGGGAGCCCAGTGGCAGAACCCCTTGATCCTATCCTTTCCAGTATAAAAGCTCAATTTTTATCTCTTATTCCAACCAAGAGTGCAGTTGAGGAAATGGTTTCTCCGGTTAAAAATAAATTGATAGTCACTTATATAGCCCGAGACCACTCTTTTCATGAATGAGTAAAATGAGTGCCAGAAAACTTAAGGAACTCTTAATTTAGTGATGGACTTGGACTTGGACCCAGACCCTGGATCACATCTTCCTCTCAGTGGTCTTTCCGCACCATGCCATGCTGTCTCTTACACAGAGAGTAAACCAGGTGAGAATTCCCAGGCCTTTAGATTTGGGGCTTTTGTTTTGTTTTTGTTTTTGAATGACTATAAAGTAAAAAATAATGAAGCCAAATTAGTGTGAGAAGAGGCATAAATATTATACTGAAAGCAAAGACATAGTCTGCAATTGTACTCCTTCCCCTATATTCCTCCAAGTTACATTACAGAATTATATCACCCAGAACCTGAAAGGGGCCACGGGGGAGGACGGGAAGGCCTAGTTCATTTCCTTATGTCACGAAATGCATTGCTATTAAGATTGAGAGAAGTAAAGATTTCAGGAGGATACTCGGTGAAAACTTGCTGACATTAATGACTCAAATTCTCAGAGAGACTGCAAGGAAAATGGTGTCATCGCTGTCATTCAAGACATTTAAGATGAAATTTCAAAAGAAGGCTGTCAGGCATAATGACTGCCAGGTTCTATTATATCATTCCCAGAGGGTGGATCACACACTACTATGCAGCCTGTGGGCGGTTAATATTAAAGTTTGAAAAGAAGCTGCACAGAGTGGAGGTGAGGTGGGCGTGTGACCTGAGGGGGGCTGCTTCACAACCAGGAGACATCACCGTGACATTCCCATGGCGACTTGGGGTTTTTAGCATTGGATATGCTGAAACCTAACACCATCAGGACATTTCAACAAGATCATGCTCTTGGGGCTGAACAAAATTCAGGAAAGTTCGAGCTATACGTGGAATAGAATGATTAATTTACAATGAGAATATCCCCTCTAGTGACTGGATGTTTGTGTCTGCATGAATCCCAGCACCAAAACAGCTGCAAAGTCTTGTCGGGAATCACAAGGCAGCCGTATGAGAGTGGGGTACCCCTGGTTCTGAGCCTGGGCTGCACATTGCAATCACCTGGGGTGCCTTAACACTAAGGCCACTCTAAAATCAAATAAATCTAAATCTTAGATATCAGGACCCAAGACATCAATAGCTTTAAAAATCTCCTCACGTGATTCCAGGGAGCAGCCAAGGCTGAGAGCTCCCGGGTCAGAGCAGAGGTCATCCGACCACTGAGAGGCTGGTCTTTAGCCTCATCCCTTCCATGCAGGGATCCACACTCACGTATGTCACAGACCACCAGGGTTTGGCTTTGTTCAGTACATTGGAAACAGATACAAGTTTGCCAGTTTTTGTTTTTATTACTTTTTTTAATTGGGGAGTGGGGGGGATGGGAACAGCGCTGGGGAATTAGGGAAGGGGAACAGACAAGTTGCTGTCCTTTTGTTCTTCAGTCTAGTTGTGGAGGACGTTGCTTCACTGGCCCAAGTTGGCACCATCATTGCGCTCTTCCCGGGTGAGGCAGATCAGTCGCCGGCTTCTGGACGGCCGCTCACTGCGGCTGCTGGCCGCTCACGCTGGCTGCTGGCTACACACGGTAGCCCATGGCAACCCACTGCCACAGGGGATGCAGCCTACGCCGTCGCCGGCGACTCACAGCAGCCCAGCTCCAGGTTGAGCTGTTGTTCAGCATCTTAGCTGTAGAGGGCAGTGTCACTGGCCCTCATATGTGGGATCCGAACTGGGGCCCTCTGGTGTCCCAAGCCAGTTCTTAACCATCGCGCCACTCAGCCAGCCCCAAGTTTGCCAATTTTTTAATTTGCCAAGTAAGAACATTAAAAATTGAACTACCATGATTTTATTAAAGAAAGGCAATCTTAACCACAAATATTAGGAAGGACATAATTTCAGGATCAAAGGTCAACTCACTACGATGTAACTATTTTTCTCATGTTTATACAGATCAGGAAAATTTTCGTTATAGGCTGATGCAAACTTAAGAACTGGTATGCTCTCACTGTTCTCTACATCCATAGTCAGGGCTCTTTTTCTTGGATAGCTGTAGATATATTTGGCCAGGTTTTGGTTCATTAAACCACTGTCCTATGTCAACTACCTCTCTCTTACCACATCCTTTCTGTATTAATAATATTGATTAAGTTGTAGGTCATTTCTGCTCCCATGCTTGGAAATGTTCTGTCTCTTCCAATTACAGAATATATTGATTTAATTAGCAGAACTCTCCTTAGACATCTTAAACTAAGGCTTCTGGAATGGGTGTGGCATGCGTACCCCCAGAAAAACACTTACTGTGGGCACTGGTGCCCCCTTGTTTTGCTAATGGACATTGATGGCAATTATTCTAAATCCAGTGGAGAGTTCCTGGGGAGCCCAAATAACCTGTGATTAGTTGTTTATTGCGTGTGTCAAGTTATATGAACCAAAAAGACATATCGTAAACCTAATTTTGAGTGCCTCTTGAATCTTGTGTCTACCCCATTCTTCAGGGGCCTTGGTTTATATTGCACACCTCCTCTCCTAAAGAGACATTGGCATTCTTGTCAGTTCTATGCATAGCTGTTTACCTTTAACAAGACAGCCCCTGGCAACTACTAAGAGAGAATAGTTGTGCCAGAAAGTCCAAGTCTGTACATTAAAGTTCCCTCAAAGTACACACAACCTAGAGACTCATCTGTGCTGACAACAGTGTGAAATAAATCTTCATTTATTCATTTCTTTTAAGCTGCCACGCTGAAAGGTACATCAAAAGAATAGTGGGTTACTCTGTCCTTGTTACCCCCAGTTCAACCCAACCCAAACTGAAAAGCTTGTCATCTCTTCAAGGTCAAGGGCTGCATATAATAGCATACAAACTTCATAATTAGAAGACCTGGGTTTGAATTCAGCCCCTACTGCTTTCTTGGGCAAGTTGCTTGATCTCTCTGAGCCTCAGCTTCTTTGTCTTTAAAATGGGGATACCATCACCCGCTTCACCGCCACCACCATCATCATCTTCATCATTACTTCATATGGTAATTGTGAGAATTAAATAAGAATTCGGGTAAAATACTTAGCAAGTGCCAGACATACTCAGTTCTTACTAAAAGTTAAGAACTCTTTGTAGGTCAGAGCCTAGTACAATAGTTGTACAACAGATATTCAGTAAACACAGACACACAGACACACACACAGACACACACACACACACACAGACACACACACGGAGGAAGCTCATTGGAAATGCAGAATGAAAAAGCTGTCACTAATTCTGAACTTTCGTTTTCAGATCTTGACAATTTAACCAAACTCCCTTTGCTCCTTAATCTTGCTCATGACTTTGTCTCTTGTCTCTTGTCCCCCTAACCTGTTACCTCGTCTGGGACCCTGCTTTACTGTGGCAAATTCTTAGAGCTTTCTATCTGACCACAGTCCCTTCTTCCCATGACAACGCCTCTATCATCTTTCTAGATCCTGGTACCTCTTGAACCCAGAACCACATTTCCTTGGAAGTAGCCACATGTTTTAAAGGGAAACATTTAGAAATCTAGATATTTGCACCTGCATCTCCATAGTTTCATTTACCAGGAAAAATTTGAATCAAATTCTGTATTGATACATTGGTTCTAAAGCATGGATCTAGGGGAAACGAAGTTAGAAAGACAAGCCCTGGTGCCCGATCTAAGGCACTTCATATCCATGCAGTACCCAATTGAGTCTCATATTTTGTCCTGATACAATTAAAAGTTTTCAAAATCAGTTAATACCAATAAATAGACATTTTTTTCTACCTCCACCAAAAAAAACCAAAAAACAAAAAACCCCACAAAAATAAAAACACATCAATAAATGAGCTTCTCAAGTTGCTGAGAATTTACCATAGGAGCCAAGTCTGATTCTGAAAGTTTCGACGCATCCAATCAGACAAAAGGCTGAGAAAAGGGGAGGCATTTATCAAGTTACACAGAGGGCTCCATCTGTTATCTTAGACCTTTGTTACCAAGTGACACAAGAGGAGATACTCAAGGCAGTTTGAAAGAGTTTTATTTTACAGATTGTTAGTCCAAAGATTTCAAATTAGAGAGAAATAGAAGCAGAAGAAGCTTTCTCCCCGACATCCTACTGACACCTAACCTGGCCAGAACCTCCGTCAGTGGTGGACTTGCCTTTTCAGCTGGGATCTGTCCATTTGGCGTCTATAATAAATGCAGTCAAGGGGCAGTCGCTTCTCGACACTCCCACAGGTCTTGTTTTTGAACATCACCCTCACAAAAGCCATTTCTCATCATGCCAAACCAACAGAAGAAAGTCATTTTTTGCACGGCCGGGTTGTTAAGCTTCGTGTGTGCCCTCGGAGTGGTGACAGCCCTGGGGACACCCTTGTGGATCAAGGCCACTTTCTTCTGCAAAACGGCGGCTCTGCTCGTCAATGCCTCAGGCCAGGAGCTGGATAAGTTCATGGGTGAGATGCAGTACGGGCTTTTCCATGGAGAGGGCGTGAGGCAGTGTGGATTAGGGGCAAGGCCCTTTCAGTTCTCATGTAAGTAACAGCCGCATTGCAATTACCTAATACTTGAGGCACACTTGTTGCATGGAATTATTTTTAAGAGTCTTGCCCTGTCTAATGCAGGATTTTTAAAATAGCTGTGAACCATTTGAAATACCTCTGACTCTTCTGAGCAATCTCTTCTTCCTAATTTTTATGATTTTGTGTTTATATTATTAATTATTTCATCCTTGCTATTAATATTATGACAGCATATAGTTAACGAGTTGGTACAAACTTCTTGAAAAGATGAGCAATTAAAATTCTTCTTAAATATTAACATTTGTGTAAGAAATTAGGGGGTCTTTTTAAAAAGGGAGGGACTTAGAGAAATAGGAAAGCTGTAAGACATGGTTTTCCTTTGGTTTTTAAAAAATGGTCACCGTTGTGGGCTCCATAACCAGCCCTCGCTGCTTTTCCACCTTGCTCGTGACTTTGTTTCAGCTCTGCTTCCCTCTTTTCCTCACTAGGACCTTTCCAGATGAGAAGTATTCTTTCTTGTTTCAAACCAATTTGGAATCACTTAGCTATAGCAAGTGAAAACCATCAGTTGTGCTAACTGGGAAAGAAATAGTTGCCTATTTAGTACAGAAAATTTGCAACTCATTGACCTGCAAATCAGGTAGAGAATGTGAGACAGTTTTCCTGTTGCGATTTTTGTGAAATGAAGTGTTATATGCAGTATTTATAACCTGTTTATCTTAAGGGAAGAATTTTTTAAAAATTACCATGTGAATAGGCAACTCATTAAATGAAAATTAATAAGCAGTCATTTGTTATATCTCTCACAACACACATTCAGAAATTATTATTATTATTTCAAAAGGGCTGGTTTGGAACAATCTTACGAAGACACAGCCAGTAAATTAGTGCATAAATCACTCTTCAGGAAAGGAGGTTACCAATTGAGGCATTTAAAATGAATTATTATTTTGCCTGGGTATTTTTTTCTCTAGCATAGGTAGAAGGCTAAATTAATTGAATTTATTATTAACATAAGCAATGTCTAATTAAATTTCAATGCTGGCCTATTTATATTTCTGCAACATTCCTTATATCTTCTTAGCAGTCATTGGACACCAAACTTTCAACTCACATAATAAGTTCATAAGTGTTATGATTTTTCAGAGGATGCCAGAAATTCACCAAGAATTAGTCTTTAGCTTTTCAAGAAATTATCATCCACTAGATTTGATGAAGTGGATACCAACTCTTTTTTGCTGAATGGTTTTAGTTTATTAAGGTAATGCAGCTATTAGAGTTGCTTAGCTTTCGCTGGGGCGAGGGTATGGGAGTGGGTGGAGAACAAAGCAGAATATCACATGATTTGCAACTGTATTAAAAAATAAAAAAGATGAATGAAAGGATTTAGCCATAAGTCACTGGCATCTAAAGCATGAGTAAAGCTTCGCACAAATGAATTTAGACAAAAGCAGGGAGCATACAGTGAATCAGCTGGAGCCTTTGCATTTTCTACAGTGAAATGGAGATAAACTTCACTCATAAGGGATGGCCTAACCCTGTCTTCTCAATAATGGCTCCCTTCAAGCAAAATCCAAAGCCTCCAAAAAGCTCTGAGTGGATGATTCTTTTCTGTTTCTTCCAGAGTCCAATTTATAATTAGAGTTCAACTTATTTCCCAGAACTTCCCTATTTTTTATTGTCCCTTTAGAAAGTTATTATGCAAACGTTTGGATTTGCAGAAGCTTTCCAGTATAAAAGGAATGCAAAAGGTAACTCATTGAAGTATCAGTCACGTCGTGGCCGTTTTTCTCCATGTTGTCACGTTGTCTTCAGTTAATATGAATTTATATTTCAATTCTGCTGGATTGCTAAATGCTGCCTCACTTACCAAACTTTTCATTTATATCAGCATTGGCTCACAGAACTATAACGTAGCCATAAACACAAGGCACATATGTAATTTTAAATGTCTTAGTAGCCATATTAGAAAGAAAAGTAAAAAGAAATAAGTGAAATTGATTTTAATGGCATATTTCCTTTAACCCAAGATATCCAGAATACTGTTATTTTAACTATATATAAATATATTTATATATATATTTATATTTATAAAAAGTATTGAGATATTTTACATTCTTTGGGGGGGGCTGCTAAGTCTTTGAACTCTGCTGTGTATTTTGTAGCTACAGCTTGTCTCAGTTCAGACTAACCACATTTCAAGTCATTTCAATGTGGCTAATAGTTATCAGACTGGACAGTGCCAATTTAGATGGAGATTGACTCTGAATAAAGCGTCCATATTCTAAATGAATTTTTGCTTGGTTATCTATACAAGCTTATGTGTCTTATTTTTATGTGCAATGTAGGTGTCACTTTTAAAACCCATAGATATGTAGTGTAACATGAGGACGAAGAATGGATCAGAAAAATAGTTAGGTGATGTTGTCATTTTTGTTCCTATTGAATGTTCCCTATTGACTACTCTATCTCTTTTAATTATAACAAGAATCTTCCCTGCCAGCATGCACCATTATGCTGGGAAAACTTCTGCCTCGTTTACTCTGGCTGGTTCTCATCCATTTATGGGTCAGTGGTTCATTTTCTAGAGGTCACTGGCATTCATACCAAGCACACAATTTCATTCATTATAATGAAGAGCTGTTTTCCTTGCAAGGCAACATAACTGGTGGGCTTAATTTTTCCTGATATGTCACCTGTAAAATTTTAATGATGATGTTTAAACTCTAAATGTGCCATAAAGACAAAAACTGCTAGTTTTGCACTCAGTGTGTGTGTGTGGGGGCAGGTTTCTGTTGTGGTGGTTTGAAACACTGCAGAGCATCATCAAAATATGATACCCAAGAATCAATGGTATCAGTCATTCCTAGATATGCTGATCTATTCATTGCCAAGACATTCAATGAACTGATAAAAACATATGGAATCTTTTTTTTTTTGAAATGTGAAAAATAAAAATGAACCAATCATGTATCACAGCTTGCAACTTTAGTCTTACTTTAAAAAGCATTTTAATTTGGACCTTATGATTGAAAATTAGTAAAAAGCTTAACAGAGATTTAGCTTATTTCATATTTTAGAAAAGCAGAGTCTGTTTACCAAATAAAGCATGTGATCCAGATTGCAGAGGGGCTGTTGAAACTACTTTTGTGAGCAAGCAGGTGGCTTCTCAAACAGATTTGGGGGTAGATGAGTTGGGATTCGAGATCTCTGTGACCTCTGACACTCTTGTCTCCACGATCTTCTGCAAGTGAGACTCCTGTCTCCTGCTAACCCTACCTGCCCCAGGTGATCTACTGGTCACCATCCTGCACACCTGCACCTCTCCTGTCATCCCGCAAAGTCATAGCAGAGCTGGAAAGGCCTCTGGTCAACCCTCTTCTGCTAACAGTGCCTGTCTCTTCTCCTTTCTTAGTGTGTGGCCGGTGTGGAAGCAGGCATGATGGGGGTGGAAGGGAAACCTGTGCAGCTCACCTGGGAAGACTACTGGTGGGAGGGATGGGGCAAGGAAGCCGCTTGCACCATTTCACCTAGCACGCATGCGCCCTCCTGCCGTGTTGCTGCGGGGGGCGGGGAGGGGGGGGAGGGTGTCCCAGGGGGGGAGGGCGTCCCATTGCCTGGTCTCACCCTTTAAAACAGTTCGGCAAATAGAGATTTTGTTTTGGAAATCTCTGGAAAAAAGTTATTAGTGGGAGAGACAAGAGAAATGTTCAAGAAGCACCAGTGTGAAGGAAAATTTCTCAGTTTCTCTCAGTCAAATAATTTTTTTTCCTCTGTCATTCCCAGACTTTGATGTTCGCTCTATTATTTCAAATCACCTTGTATTACAAGTATTTGACAATACGTATTTCTTTGCAAGGAGATCCTGAGCACTCTCTCCAACCAGATCTAGCTGAGTTCACGTCCCAAAGAGATACTTAGTAAATGTTTGGTAAACTGTCCCTATTAGTGAGATTAAGCAGCGGAGGACTGAGGCGGGTGTCTGCCACTCACTAGGGGATTTAGACCTTGAGCAAATCACATCACTTCATTGGTTTTCAGCTCTTGTATCTGTAAAATGGGAAGTAAAACTAGGTGATTTCCAACACCTCTTCCAGTTCAAACTCTCTGATCTGAGGGTCTGGCTGTTCTAGGAAAAGTCCTTCCAGCTTTAAAACTGTGTGACCTATCTAGTCTCAGTCTTATAAAGCCTCTGCTGACTGATTTCAGCCCATCATCAGAAATGGTGAGTTTTGGTTGCCTCAAAGCTTGTGATTCTTAAAGTATTCTGAAATATCTACCATTTGTCAGGGCCTACATGAAATTTCATTATCAAAGTGAATGCTTCTTTTCTTCCTGTCTGTCATAACCTTTCATTTTTTGTGTAGAAAATTGCAGGTTAAAGAGGTAGAAAATAAATGAGGTGCTTTGGAAATCTAGGGAGATGGGTTAATGGGTTCCAAGAACAGAAGCAGCCATAAACACTCATTATAGAAGGTATTACTAAGAAAAAAAAAAAAAAAAAAAAAAAGGAAGATCAAAAGACAAGCTGAACTTCTACTTCTTCCAACTTTTCTCTTTCTCCATTTTTCCAAGAAACGCCTCACCCATCCTCACTAAAAAAATTCCTCTTTCCAGAATCTGATTTCTTAAACATAGTGGTGAGAATTTAGGAATGACCAGTATGTTTGACACTTCAAAGGTATTCTTTCCCCAAAGGAAGTACTTAAGTAGAAATTATCCTTGAATTGGTGAGAAATATGGGGAAAATGCTTTTGAGGAAAGGAACTTCTGATTCTCCTTTCGAAATAAAGGAAAAGAACCTTTATTTCTCCCTCCTTCCTAAAAACTACCTCCAATATCCCTACCAGAAAAAAAAATATTCCACAGAATCAGCCTTGAGAATTATAATTTTGCACCTGTGTACACATACAGACACACACACACACACATACACACACACACACACACACACCTATCTTTCTTCCTTTTAAATTATCCTCCACTTCAAAACATCCAGAAGGCAAATGATT